CCTTTTTGTATACACTGTTAACAATGGCTAACAAAAAGGCAGTCTCATATGACAGCCACTTGAGGTCAGCTTGCCACATGTGCTCAAAAGAGGAACAGCACAAAGCATCGAGAACCAAACGCAGATCCCGACCTACGTGCATCGCAAAAAGAGACGACACAATGGCCCCCCACTGGATGGCCATCAACAGTTGAATGAAATTGCTGCCACTTACATTTTAAGGGTCGAAGGACAATGACCCTTGTCAAGTAAAGCATGGAGACCCTTCAGAACAGCAGGCACTGGGCAGGAAACTTGTCCTCATTGCAGGCAAAGAACCACTGAGCAAATAGACGCCATCTATTGTTGTGTTGCTCTTGAGAGGATGGTACCCTAGCACTAAATATGAAGCACCTGACAGCCACTTAGTGGTGACACCCACAGATGGAAATGTTAGGGTTGGGGTGCCATACCCGCCTCCCAACTGAGACAGCAGATCCCTCCTGGCTGAAGGACGACATGGGAGAGAGTTGGGGACCTCATTGGGCACCCCGGGTACCCCAGCCTGTGTGACTGGCATCTATGGTAACTATCTCACTGCAGATCAACATTGTTACCCTAGGGATGCCCTTGGACAGGTAAGTCCTGCTTCGCCAGCGGGCCAGGGCATGAAGGCACGTCCATGTCACTTTGAGCCAGCGATACCCGAACAGGATGGGGTCCAGACAAAAGCTGTTGAGCCACCTTTGAAAAGTGTGCAGACAGAGAAAACCAATGGCCTAAGACGCCAAGATGAGTGATAGAAGTCACTTTGCCTTGTACCTGCAGGAAAGTGACGTTAGGTGTGCCTAACATCTCCAAAGGAGATGAAGCTGCTTCCATGCACAGAGTAAACTCCCTTAAAGAGAGAAGCTGAGTGGGAGCACCTGGAATGTTGATCCTGAAAGGCAAACCTGAGAAAACTCTGTCACAATAGTCATGAACGTAAGATCCGTCAGATCCACTGACCTAAACCAGAGTGGCTGCTTGCTAGTCTGACAAGCCTGAACAGTTCGTTCAAATTCCTCCCGAGCAGCACAACTGGGACACCTGCGAGGGGCCTCATTGGGCGACAAAATTAATAAGGGAGGTTCAACTGCTGCCATAAAGTCCATGGATGACTCATGCATGGAAGCCAGCAACTGGCCATCGGTGGACAGATGTGACAACGCGCTTGCCTTCACCAGGTAGAGAAAACAAAAAAACAAGGCAGCTGGACACCGTAAGCTCCAGCAGACCACATGATCAGTTGAACTGGAGAGTTGAACTTTAGCCGTGACCAAACCTTGACAACAGAGTTGGACAAGCTGGGTAGGAGCAATAACTCTGCCGCACCTGTTGAGAATAACAGCAGCTAAGCTGCAATAATTTCAGAAACATTGTAAGAAGAAGTTGGGAAAGGGGAAGTGAACGCTGCCATCACTATCAAACAGCATACATAGCTGGCAAGTCCCGTAAGAAGGTCAACCTGTTGCAGCCTAGGAGTGCAAAATTACCACAGTTGCAGCCAGTGGGTGACAGGGCTTCCAGAAACACGGAGCCGAGGAAGGTATGGTCCAAACAACTTCAAATCAAATGCCAAACGAGGTGAAGCACACATGAGAACAAGCAAAGAACAGAGCCCTGCATGCCGCCAGCATATCCAGCTTCTGAGTGGTCACCCAAGGTGTCACAGGTGTCACTCTGTTGGTATAATTACTCACACTGTGCATGCACAAAGGCATCATTCAGCGCTTTCAGCACCGCCCCTTTCAGTAGGGATGAACTAGAACAGGCTGTGTATAGGGAAGGTTACTTCCATCCTGAATATGGTTCATCTGTTCATCAGCGTATAGTTTCTCTGAGCACAGCTCACATTTCTATCAAATTATCCCTTAATGATGGGTTATAAAATGATTTTGGGCCTTGGGTCTAACTAACAATTATTTCACAATTCAATTAATCGATAAATAACCCGAAATTGATTGCAAAATTGATTGATAAACTTATTGATCTGACAGTGGATATATATGGATCCACTGGATATATATATATATATATATATATATATATATATATATATATATATATATATATATATATATATATA